ATAAGCCGCAACTAGTTGCAACTAGGTGATGCTTTATTTGTCACCACGTTGCAACAGTTGCCGCGCCATCTTTAGTCTGGTATGTTCACTCACAGATAGCCGTTGTTTCGTTCTCGAATAATATCGAATACTTAATCTTGTGCTTTTCTTTCTTTCCCGCTTCTTATCACCCAAAAAACACATTCACGTTATCGTTGAAGCTCGCGTTGCCACCGGTAAGTGAGTCGTATAAGTTTAGTTAACACGATGAACGTGACCTGGCTCAACTTTTTAATACCGTACGCCACTGACCATAGTACCCGGGATACTATTCAAAAAACTTGGTTTTAAATTGAAATATACCCGGCACTATTCACGAATCCAGCGATTTCATTGGTGGAGAAGGGGGACTTTTCAAGGGGGTATTATAGTCAGGGGGTACTGTAGTCAGTGGCGTACGGTAGCCGTTGTTTCATTCTCGTCTACTCGTTAATAATTCCAAATACTTAATCTTGTGCAATTCTTTCCTGCTTCTTAACGTCCAAAAAACACATTCACGTTATTGTTGATAGCTATTTTTTTTTCGATCTCATTATTTTAACACCTTTTATCTTGCTTATATAAACAGAGTTAACACTGTCTCTGAAGAGACATTTCGATGAAATCCAAACCTAAATAAAAGCCGAAATAAAAACCCAATCAGTGCAAGTAGATTCAATACGCTATGTAGTAAAGAAAACACGACTTAATACTGAGATCTGGCTTAGTGCTCCAGGTATGTCATTAATCTAATCTGTACAATCCTGCAAACACTGTTTAATATTTGTGTTTAGCTACCACTACGGAAACTGATAAGGGCATTTATGTGAGAAAACACGGTACAGATGACCTTCCCACTTCAACTGACACCCGAAGAATAGTAGAAGGAAAGTTTAAAAGCCCGTCTAACGCCGATGTTCCAGAAAAAATATTACAAGAATATTTTATCAACGAATGCAACGCACTGCGAGCATTAAACTTGTAATTGAGAACTCACATTCTATTCCGTTTCTGGCTACTCGAAAACCAGACTTTGTATTCGTCCCAAGAGGGTGTCGTAGCTGTTGGTGAGATCAGAAAACGCTCCGGCAATGACTTCACAAATGCAGATGTAGGACACGCGGTGTCATTTGGCGAAAAGTACTTCAACTACAGCCTCGGAGAGCTTACGTGATGTTGACAGATTGCAGGGTTATTTCTATCTTTAAGGTGATTCGATTCTCGTGTGAATACACAGCACCACATAAGTTAACTTACGAAAGCAGGGATTCCCCGCCATTGGGTGGCGATACCTAGTAACGATTATGGAATGTTCTCCGGATAAGCTTGGATGGATGGAGCCATCGTTAAATTTCGGTTTAGATACTGTCACATTGGTTCGACCCATTAATACAGGAAGGACTAGCGTTGTATATGAAGGAAAGCTTAATGATAAGATGTTTGTGGGGGTGAAAATAGCAAAAGGCGACGAATATTTGTCTTGTTTTGAAAGGGAAAAAATGTATTGAAAGCTCTTTCGAGTTTGAAATCACCTCATCTTCAGACCCTCCTCCTGGACGGTGAGGGCATCCTTGTTACAACTCCTCTTTGTACGAAAGTAAATAATCTCCGAAAAGAGGATATCGGAAACATTATTAACACCCTCAAGGTTGTCCATTCAAAATTCAATCTTGTACACATGGATCTTCGGAAATACAACTTTCTCCGTAATGACAAAGGTGACATCTTGATTATCGATTGGGGATATAACGCAGTAATAGGCGAAACTGTGAATTTTGCGTGCGTACTTGAATGCATGCCCGACGATATCCTGGCATCATTGGCTAACGGGGGACGAACAACTTATTCAGCGAAAATTGACTTGATATGTTTGGCAAGGGCGTTCTACTTGATGCTTCATAAACCACCAAATGCGGAGAGAATTTCCTTTGGAGGGAATCCTGACATCAGCTCACGGGCGCAAAATATATTGGCCTTTTGGGGGTCTAATGCCAAATCAGAATTGTGGGATAGAATTTTTCAAGACGCAAAGGGCTTGAAGTACGAAGGCGTAATTGAAGAACTTGAAAAGTTTTTTTAGGTGGTGATAGACATGATTAATCTTAGATAAAGTCACTAAGTACTGCACTTTTTTATTGTAAAAGTATTTATAATTTGCTAATCGGGGTATAGGAGTGTTTGGCACCCTGATTACTGGGTCGCGCTTGAGATGTGCTAAGATTTCTTACAAGAGAAAACTGAACCGCCACGTAACTTTTTCTTATAACACTCGTGAACTAAAACCATACTGAAGCTTTCCCCCGTCAGTATTGTGCAGACAACAGTTTTGGTAATAACGAGATGCCAAAAAAAAAAGAAATAATAGATTTTAATTGCTCCAGGTGTCCGTAGCATCGCAATTCACCTGGAGAGGGGTAAATGCGTATACTTAGTAATCATAATAATTTAGATCAGGTTATGAACTTTTATTCCGAACGCACTGGATTCGGAAAATGCATCGATCAACCCATTCTGATTTTTTGTTTTATCTCCTATTAGGGCTGTTAAAAAGCTCACATGATGGAATCCTTATATAACGCATACATGTCATAATTAATATCGGTTAAGCAGCTGAAACGCCATGATTAAAATTTTTAATTACGTAAATTAAGAGTTAATCATTGCATGTTAACGTTAAATAAACTATTAATCGCCCAATTTTTATTAAACTTATAATCCTCGCTCGCATCCATCAGAGTTATGTACTATATTAAAGAGAGCTTCCTCTTTTCGATAATATGCATGAGCTCAACTTTGGGACCAAGTCCTAATCAAAGTCCTGACTTTTGGAGTCGGGACGGACAGGATCGGACTTTTAACAGCCCTTTCTCCTATTATTGCACCGTGAAGTATGAACGTAACCCTCATAAGTTCGCATTCCATGCATAACTCAAACTTTTGAATATAAATTAATTAATAATTGATTCAAATTCTATTTCCAATCCCATTTCAAATAAAAGTTTCAATCGACTTTATTAAAAAATTAAAACGTAAATCAAACTTTCGTTTCAATGCAAGCCAATAACTTTTATCAGTGATCAATACATTGTAGCAGATTGTAAAACACGTAATTCTATGACAAGTCCGCTTTCAAGCACAAGTTTTGTGCGTGCATTTCGTTTTTCTTTAATTATTACAGCAAATGACCTTTTCGAACATAATTGTTACAATTCGCTTTATATCCAAACCAGGAACATTATGAAATTACGTCAACTATTTTAAACAATATAAATAAGTAATTACGAATAGCTTTATTGTTATGCTCAACATGAACACGTATAGCGATAAACGATAAATGTATGGTGCATAAAATCTAAAGTCATCAAACATTTGTGTTTTATAAAATGTATAAACTTCTTAATTAAGAATTAATACAAAATTTAACCTGTGAATATGCTCAAAAAGTGCCTGTTCTATCATATTCACAGATCAAATTTTAGTTGAGAAGTTTATAAAATAAAAAATATTTGATGAGTTTAGATGTTATGCACCATATATGTAATGGCTTTACATATTAAGAAGGCAATGATAATAAACTCGAAGGGTATACTGTATGTTTCTAGTCACTAAACAAAGAATGCAGAAAGATATTGTATTTGAATTTGTTTTTATAATGTCATAAATTATGGTGTATCATAATTTTATCCAATGATATTTATATTAATTTGATGAATATCACTTTCTTTTTGATTGATCAATGAATTACATTTTTTTTATATACTTTGATATTTATCTTTACTTTCTTTTCATTTTCTACTTTTTGTATTTTTCTTCTCTTATTGCTATTGATATATCTTATCAACCTCACTTTTACCACAAAATCTTGGTGTCAATATACCTGCAATCACAACAATTGATATTAATAAAGCCATAGCTGATTTGACAGAACAAGTCAAGAAATTAGCTTTACAAACTACTAAAAATATCAGTTGGAATCGTGACAATTATACCAGTCACCACTATGATTAATAATCAAATCAGAAAATCTATTTTGTATATGGAAGAGCCAATCACCTAGCAAAAGATTGTAGATACTGTGAGAATCGTGATAAATCAAATCAAGATCAAAATTACCAAGTCCAATATTATAGCTACAAAGAATATAAACACTATATTAATAATTGTTCAGCACATAGAAGAAGTACTTTCAACAATATTTAACAATATTAAAATAATTGTAATAATTAACCAGTCAATTATGGAAAAACTCCAATCACTTCTACAACTTCTACTTCTAGTTCTCAAAATTTAATTGGTGTTCCTTCTACAATAAACAATATTGATTTCTTACAACAATTTCAAAGTTTGCTAAGAAATAATATCAATAATAATAATAATAATACTAATAACAATAATAATTAGCAAGAGCAAAACACTTTATTATCAAATAATAAAAGTCAACAAAAGCATTTAAACTAAATTTCATACCTGTTGAAGATCAGAATATGATTAAGTATAAAAATTCTTCAATATCATTTTTATAACAACTATTATTAAATACAGAAAAAGAAAATAATAATCATCAAGAAGAATCAATTAATTATGAAGAATCAGAATTGGAATTGGAACCAAATGACGTTATATATTGTGAAGATATCATAAAAAATTAACAAACTTTAATAATTATTGACAGTGGATCAGTAAGTAATATAATATTCAAAAAATTCTTAAAGCAAATAAATTAAAGAATCAATTAATCATCAAATATTAATTTAATTGACATAAATAGAAAATATAAAAGATCCTTGGGAGAAATAAAACAATTAAAAATGAATATTGGAGGTAGCAAACAACAAATTAATACATTAGTTATGAAGCATACTGAATACAATTTACTACTCAAAAACAATTGGATACAAAGAAGAAAAGCAATATTAAATTAGCAAAAAGGACAACTAAGTTTTGAAAATGATGAAATATTCTATCTTGTACAATATACTTGCATTAAATAATCTTCATTACAATTATCAATAAAATTTGAAGAAATCTTGGAATCAAACAAAATGGAATTACCAGATAAAATTGATTCAGAAGAATATGAAGATAAAGATCTTATTGATCAATCTTTTTATATCATTAATGAAAAACTAAATGATTAACTCATTCTGCAGATAAAAATTCAAAAAGAATCAATAAAAATAAATAATGAAACAATTGATCAAATTAAAGTTGAAAGAATTCATCGAGAATGCTTAAAAAATTATTATAAATGCAAACATAATTAACAAGATTTCAATTGTTACCAATGCATTAAAGAACAGCAAATTCATAATCAATTAGAAATTTGTCTGCAAGTATTATTAAATGCAACAACTATCTTAATTAATTCAGATATAAATTCAGTATAACAAAATCAACTTAATTAACTCTTGGCTGAATATGATAATCTTTTTACTGATAAATCTGACTATACTAATGTAATACAATATAAAATCCATTTGAAGGAAGAATAATCTATCACTTTATATTTATATTATCAAAAATTATCCCTAGAAAATGTATTTTTGAAAGATGAAATACAAATAATGAAATAATATCTCATTTAGATAGCTCTTGATCTGTTCTTATCATAATAGCATGCAAAAAGAACAGAAAATTTTGATTATGTGTCAACTATCGCAAATTAAATGAAATTACCAAAAAAGATTAATACTCTCTTTCAAGAATTAATAAATTGCTAGACTCATTTAAAAATGCTAAATACTTTATTACAATGAATCTCGCAAGCAGTTTTTAACAAGTTAAAATACATTTGAAAGACAAAGAAAAGATAACATTTATTACAAATCAAGAATTGTTTCACTTCAATATTATGTCATTCAGCTTAACTAACAGTCCTGTTACCTTCCAAAAATTGATGAATTGAATATTTAAAGAATATACTGAAAAATTTATTGTTGTTTATTTGGATAATATCACTATATATTCAGAATCTTTGAGAAACATCTCCAATATATTCAAAAAGCTCTAGATAAACTTTGACAAGCTGAACTATGACTACAACTAGACAAATACCACTTCACTAAAAATCAACTTCTATTCTTAGATTATATTATTGGAAAAGAAGATATTCGATCAGATTTAGCAAAAATTGAAAAAATCAAAAATTTTCTGTATTCACAAATCTTATATCATTACGCAGTTTCATTGAACTCATTTCATACTACAAACGTTTTATCAAAGATTTTGCAAAGATAGCAATTTCATTTTACAAGTTATTCAAAAAAAATTAATCATATAATTGAATAAAAAAACAACAAAAAGCATTCGATACATTAGAATAACACCTCATTTCATTACCTATCATTGCATACTCAGACTTTTCATAATCATTCACTCTATTTATAAATGCCTCTGGACTCAGATTAGGAGCTGTATTAGCTCTAAGGATGCTTATCTAAATCCTTTCAGAAAAATATCATCATAATTTTGATGGATTACACATTAATTATTAATTAGAATTTTGACATAATTTCAATTATAACAGATTTCAAAACTTGTCAGAATTTTGACAGGCTATTTACTAATAGTTTATTATAATTTTAACAGAATTTCAGCAGTTACTAAGAGATTTCAGCAAGCAATCTTAGTTAGCTCAGTATGATAATGAAGGAAAAGAACATGTTATCACATATACAAGCAGAAGAACATCAACAGAAGAACAAAAATATAATGCAATTAAATTGGAATACTTAGGTATAATTTAAGCTGTAAAACTCTTTTGATCTTATTTTTTATTAACAAAACTCTTTATCATCATCATTGATCATTCAGTATTAACTTGATTGATTAACAAATCAAACTTACCTGAAAGACTTGCATGATGAATAATTGCATTATGTGAGTATAATTTTAATATCAAACATAAACCTAAATAAATTCATTCGAATATTGACTCACTCTCTTGAATACAACACACATTAGAAAGTGATAACACTATCAAATGAATTTGAAAAATTATATTAACATTTATAATTATTTGAATTTTCTTACTGTGTCAAATAACTATATAAAGAACAAATAGAAATAGCTACTGGCAGA